AGAGCGGCGGAGGGGGGAGCGGGGCAGTGCGGTAGGGGAAGAGACGGTAGAAGGGGACCGACTCGTTAAACGTGACGTCCTGGGAGGAGAGAACACGGCGTGAGGTGGGGTGGTAAAACTGCCAACCAGGCGCGTCAGGGGGGAAGCCAAGAAAGACGCAGGGAACAGTACGGGGGGACCGCTTGTCCGCAGACAAGTCGCGGACAAAAGCCCGAGATCCCCAGACACAAAGCGCAAACGCATCGCCAACCTTCCCCGTCCACCGCAGAGTAGGGGAGGTCTCCGGCAAGGAGACCCGGGGCTGAAGGTTGATCTGATGCGCCGCGTACTAAACCGCGAACGGCCACAGAAAATGGGGAGCAACCGCATGGATCATTGACGTACGAGCGACGTCCATGACCATGCCAATGCGGTGCTCAGCAATCCCATTTTGCTGTGGAGAGGCTGGAAGCGTGAAGGTCTGGCGGATGCCCTGTGCACGACAGAAGGCTCGCAGAAGGTCAGTGGAAAACTCACCTCCTCTATCGGAGTGCAGACGCACGACAGGAAAGTCCGAGCCGAAACTCTCTCTGAGCTGGAGACGAGCTGCGCGGATCCAGTCGATCAACACCTCAGTGACCTCACCCTTGCTGCGCAAGGGGAAGACTGTGGTGTAACGCGAGTAGTCGTCAACCACCAGCAGGAAGTAACGCTCGTGACCCTCTCCATGGACGCGGGCTGGGCCCCACACGTCCATGTGAAGCGTTTGCAGCAGAGCCTCTGTCGGAGGAAACTCGGAGGAGTGAGGAGCGGCGCGCTGCCGCCCCTCGACGCAGGGAACGCAGGTGGGGGCAGGCCCCGGAGGAAGAGAAGGGAGGGACCGGGGGAGACCCGAGACAAGGAAACGAGAGGCCATGCCTCGGAGACGAGGCAGGGAGGGGTGACCAAGGCGGTGGTGCCAGAGGAGAGTCTGGTGAGACAGGAGACGACACGAGCAGGGGGTAGACTCAGGACCAGACCTGGACGCTGCAGCAAACACCTAACTCGACGCAGCTACTTGAGGAGACTCAGTAGTCAGTGTGTACAGGCTCGACCCTGGCTGACGGGTAAACGTGGCCAAGTGTCGGCCCGTCCGAGCACACGTACAGTGGGTCACTCGGTGACGCGCAGGAGTGAACTGGTCAACCCCTCCATCCTGTTGGTCAGCACCACTCACCAAGTTCGTAGAGAACGAGGGGAGGTAAAGACCTGACATGGAGCCAGAAGGGGCCGCCGGACACGGTAAGACAGTGGAGAAGTGGGCAAGGACAGGACCCCCAGGGGGGTCTGCCAGGGAGACTGCAACCGACCGACTGAGCGGCGTGAGTGTGGTGCGGTCTCGAAAGAAGGAGCGGGAAGCACCCGAGTCAAGGGTGAAGGTGTGTAAAACCTGAGCCGACGTGGTACCTGCGAGAGCAGACTCACCAACACCTGGGGCAGCAGACTCACTAGCACCTGGAGGAGTAGACGCACTAGCACCTAGAGCAGCAGCCTCACCAGCACCTAAAGCAGCAGCCTCAATGCCTGGGTCAGGTGGAACACACAGGTAATAGTCACCCACATCACTAGTAGGCAATGCATACATGGAAGTGAGCATAGCATCATAGTCAAGAGCATAGATATCGACCCTCTGCCTAAGCAGCTTCACCCAGTCGGGGAGCTCAGCGACGTCGCCAAACTCTGTACGCCAGGCGTCGCTCAGACGGGCGAAGCAGCGGGACTCTGCGTGACTAAACGTCCCACAAGGCTGACCAGTCCGAGCACCAGTGCGAATGACGTACGGACAGCGAGCAGTACTCCGTGACCCTCCACGCTGAGTGTACCACTGACAAAGCTGCTAGGGCGAAAGGACCGCGCGCGGACTACGTTGCAGCTGCACCTGGCCACGACAGGCAGCTCCCGAACTACTCACGCCAGAACGACTCTCACTACAGCCACCCCGACAACCCCAAGTAGCGTACCACTCACGAAGCTGCTGGGGCGTGAGGGACTCACGCGGACGTCGCTGGAGCTGCATCTGGCCACCGCTTGGGGCAGCAGGAGCAGTGGTAGCCGCAGTGGCAGCAGTAGCAGCAGTAGCAGTGCGGTCACCCCTACAACCCCAACTAGCGTACCACTCACGAAGCTGATGGGGGCCGAGGGACTCACGCGGACAGCGCTAGAGCTGCATCTGGCCACGCCAGGAGCAGCAGTAGCAGTAGAAAGTGCATAGTAGCAAGAGCAGCAGTAACAGCAGTAACAGCAGAGCTCACCAGTGGCAAGAAGGGCAAGAGTACGACAGCGGCAATGGTGAGGCCGCTACCACCGAAGGGCGAGGGCTACGCGGCTGCTGCAGGGACTGCTTCTCCAAAGGTCAGGGGCGGCTGCTGCAGGGGCGGCTGCTCCAGGGGGCAGGGGCAGTTGCAGCAGCGGCGGCTGCAGCAGTGGGAGACGAAGGAGGAGGAGGAGCAGGGGACGGCTCACACACCCGCCACCCCCATACCCTGAGTGTGCGGTAAGCGAGCTCAGGTGTGCGCGAAGCATGCACAAGCGTGGGGGAAGTGAACGCGGGTGTGCGGTAAGCGAACTCAGGTGTGCGGGGAGGGGGGGGCCGCAGGGCGACGCGCGGGTCCACGGGGGCGGCGCACGGGTCCCACGGGGTGGCGCATCGTGATGGCGAGGGCCGCGCGCGGGTCCCTAGGGCGACGCAACGGGATCGCGGGGGGCGCGCGAAGGTCCCCAGGGGTGAAGGTGCCGCGGCGGCTGACACGGCAGCGGCGGCGGCGGCTGCTGGTGTCGGCGGCGGCTGCTACTATCGACAGCAGCGGCTGCTGCAGTCAGTGGTGGCGGCGGCTGCTGCGGCCGGGGCAGGGGCGGCGGCGGCTGCTACCGTCGGCGGCGGCGGTGGCAGCTGCTGTCGGCGGCGGCGGCGGCTGCTGCGGCCGGGGCAGGGGCGGCGGCGACTGAGAAGGGGCCGCGGGGCCTTGAGGGGCCGTATGAGGGGCCGCGAGGGGCCGCGAGGGTCCGCGAAGGGGCCGCGAGGGGCCGTGAGAGGGGTCGCGAGGGGCCGGGAGGGGCCTTAAGGGAGCCGCGACGGGGCCGCGAGGGGCCGTGGGAGGGGCCGCGAGGGAGCCGCGAAGGGGCCGCGAGGGGCCGTGAGAGGGGCCGTGAGAGGGGCCGTGAGGGAGCGGCTAAGGGGCCGCGAGGGGCCGTAAGAGGGCGCGATGGGCCGCTAAGGGCAGGGGACGCGACGGGAGGTCAGGCACACGGGGCGCGACTCAGGCAGGGGCGAAGCGCGCTCCGGGCAGGATTTTTTTTTTTTTTTTTTGGATTTTCGGTGGGCCCTAGGAAACGTTCCCACTAGGGAACCTGCTCTATACCATGTGAAAGAATGAGGAATGAATGCACTAGGAAACAAGTGGGTACAAGTAGGAAAACCTAAAAGTGTTGTACCCCATATTGTCTACCCCACTACAGTCTACACAGACTATAGCATATAAGTTTGACAGGGCTGCGTGTCGGAATCTGGTCGCCCAGCTGCAGGATGGGGCGCTTGACCAATCCGAATTGTAGGTGAGGTGGCGCTTGACTTCCGCCCACCTGCACTGTTCTTGGAGTTGAGTTTCTGCACTGTTACGATTGACTTCCGCCCACCTGCATTGCAGTTGGCAGCATTCGGCTGCTGCACTGTTACAACGTGCCACCGTTTTCAACCTGATATAGAACCCCCACATCCTGGGTGGCTGGATCATGCGTGTAGAACAGCCAATGCAGATTCTGTGCTTCCCCGCAACTTGCGTGGACTGGCAGGCAACTCGAGTTCTACCTCATTTCTCCACAGCCTGTCTGAGCTCACATCCTATCACATTTTATGAGTGATAATGACACAAGCACTGTCTGAGTCATGTTTCTCCTCGTACGAGTCTGTGACGACGGTAGTGGCTTTTGTGCCTAATAAACCCGAGTAGCTTAGTATACTATAGTTTAACTTCGAGTTGAAGCCAGGCCACAATGGGTGCGTTCGCCGAGCTTCGAACACGCACTTCAACGAGTAGAGATGCTGATTTTACCGGGTACAACCGTGGATTCATCACACACGCTGTCTTGCCAGTTATGCCGGCGTCTAGCAGGAAGATTGGCTCTACTACTTGCAGTAAAGCGGGCCAGAAGACTAGTTTTAGCCGCGTTGCGATGTTTCTGCATTACCTGATGTCTTTAATTGCGGGAAAGCCGCCTCCGCCGCCGGCGAAGGCGCAGCCGGCGGCGGTGCCGGCCAACCCGCGGCTCGTTCTGCTGGCGAATAACTCGTTGGATGCGAAATGCCTTGATGGGAGGTTCGCAATTTGGGAGGGGAAAATGGGAGGGGGGAGTATGGGATGAAAAGCGAAGCGAGGTTGCATCAAGTCGACTCAAAACCGAAGAATGCCCTTTTTGCTGAACGAGCGAATTAGTGCAAGACAGGGTATTAGCTATTCCTGCTGAGCAAATAGCTTCCCAACCCCCTCCACGAACCCAACCGGCCAGGATACAATTTCTGGGCGGGCAGGGGGGACAGAAAAAGCACGTGGTTCAGGACACTATTACCCCCATCCCTTCCCCCTCTTTCCGCCCACCACCCTCCTCTATCTCTCTCCCCTCCCTGTACCTCATCACTTCTCCTCCCCACACATTCCCTCCCTCGCATTCCCTCCCACACATTCGCTCCCCCACGTTCCCTCCCACACATTCCCTCCCTCACATTCCCTCGTTCACGTTCCCTCCCCCACATTCCCTCTTCCACATTCCCTCCCCCACATTCCCTCCTCTTCCCCCTCCCCCTCTTTTTGAGACACCTCAGAAATAGACCCCCCTCTATCTCTCTCCCCACACTGCACCTCATCACCTCCCCCCCCACATTCCCTCCCCCTATGTCAATGATTGATTATTTCAATGACAAGTGAACAGCGCGAAGGAAGAGTAACTTTCCCTTGGAAGCGTATCAGTCAGAGAACCTGGAAAAGCGAATGCGGCTTTTCCAACGCGTCGTAACGTTATCGGCTCTCCCCCCAGATTCCCTCCCCCTCACCTCCCCCTCACCTCCCCCTCACCTCCCCATCACCTCCCCCTCACCTCCCCCTCACCTCCCCCTCACCTCCCCCTCACCTCCGCCTCACCTTCCCCTCACCTCCCCCTCACCTCCCCCTCACCTCCCCCTCACCTCCCCCTCACCTCGTTCCTCCCAATTCCCTCCCCTTCACCTCTCCCCGTCTCTCCTCCCCCTCTCGCGCCCCCCCCGACCTCCGCTCCCCAGCCCCCCAGGGTACTATTTCCGTGTGGGAACGGGGGCAAGAGCATGTGGCACATCTACCTGCCGCACGGGGGGTGGTGCCGCAACGCCAACGAGTGCGTCGGTAGGAGCAGGACAGCTCTAGGCAGCAGCAAATTTTACCCAGAAGATCCCACCAACGCTGTATACAATCATTCCTAAAACTGCCTTATAAAATGCCTCATAAATTGCCTCCTGAGAAGCAGCTTTTTTCTTAAAACCCCTAGCCCCTCCCAACTCTATTCCCGGCAAAACGTCTGTAGTGTGTCGTCTTATGGTTGATTTGCAATGTGTCGTCACTAACGAGCCATTGAAACACCCCCTCCTTGCCTCGTCCCTCCAACCCAGACCCGGGTTTCAACCCGGCATTCTGAGCAGCAACAGCAGCATCAACCCGCCCTTCCACGACTGTAACCTCCTTACCGTTTGTTTCTCTCTCCCACTCCCCTCTCTCTCCCACTCCCCTCTCCCACTCCCGCCTTCAGACCATCCCCTCCCCGGGTTTCAACGGCATTCTCAGCAGCAACAGCAGCATCAACCCGCCTTTCTACAACTAGAACCTCATTCGTCTCATCTACTGCGACGATGGCGGCTACTCGGGCACAGCAGGGCGGCTAGACATCAACAACAACACTTCGATCTACCTAGATGGGTGGAACATCGTTCAAGCGGTGATTGAAGGTGCGTCGTGGTAATGGGTGAGGAGGTTCCTCACCTACTGGGCTACTCGGGCTTGGCAGGGCGGCTAGACATCAACAACAAAACTTCGATCTACCTGGATGGGTGGAACATTGTTCAAGTGGTGATAGAGGGTGAGTGACTTGGGAGGGCGTTTCATTCTACACTCATCTACTCAGGAACGACATCATCTACTGTGACTGCGGCGGCTACTCAGGCACGGCAGGAAGGCTGGACGTTGGCAGCAGTGGGACGTGAGGCGCCTCTTTCATCCCTTTCTCTTAAACTCCTCGCTTTTGTGCTTTAGCTCCACTGTTTCCATCTCCGCCCCCCAAACGCAATCAGATCTGAAATCAAATCGGGGGTTCAAATCTGCATCGCAGATCTTACTATCTGGCAGCTCAGCGGGCGGCCAAGCAGTCATGGCTCTCTGCGATCGCATCGCTGCCGCCTTCCCCTGGGCGCCAACCAAATGCATCGCCGACTCGGGCTTCTTTATCGGTGAGCTTGTGTAATCAGATTCAGGCTAGGGCGCTTTCCTGGGCGGCAACCAAATGCATCTCTGATTCGGGCTTCTTTATTGGTAAGTCTTCATTTGAGTGTACTGTACTGTCATGCGTTTGTTCCTCATGTATATTGGTCTAGTGTGTATTTCGGGCATGAATCTCTATTTTGGGCATGAATCTCTATTTTGGGCATGAATCTCTAGTTCGAGCATAGATTTATAGTTCGGAATTGAATGTGTATAGTTCTCCCCATGCTCCACCCCCATGCCTTCCAGACTCCAAGGACCGAGCGGGCGGGTACACGTGGCGTGCATCGGCACAAAGCCTGGTTGGTTTTCACAAGCCCAACTGGACTGATTGCATGGATGGTAAGATGACATGCAATGCATGGTGGTTACATGGTTACCATGTGGTGCGCCTTTCGGCTCAGAGCATATTTGATCTCCACATGCAGAAGTGGAATGCTTGCATGCATGGTGGGCGGGACAAGACGGGGTGTGAAACACGTTATGCAACACGGCATGAAATGGGTTGTGAAACGTGGCATCAGACACTGCCTTCTAAAATATGGCATTGAGTGGGTTTTAAGAGTGAAGTAGGATTGCATAATCTGGGTTTTGTTGAAGTGTTGTTCCGTATCAGCACAGAACCATCCATCCATCCATCCATCCATCCATCCATCCATCCATCCATCCATCCATCCATCCATCCATCCATCCATCCATCCATCCATCCATCCATCCATGCAGGAAATATATCTGTTCCACACAATACTTCTCTCTTCCCTCATGTCACTTTCCGTTTCCTCATTTCCTCCTTGCACTGCCCACTCTCCTACTGTCTGCTCGTTATTCCCTCCTACGATATCCCTCCTAACCTCCCTAATGCTTACTCCCCTCACCCACATCCCCTTTCCCTGAGTCATTACGTTCCCCCACCATCCCAACATGTCCCTCCTATTCCCTCCCACGTTTCCCCCCATTCCAAAAAAACCCATCAGCCTTACCAGATACTGATCATTGGAAGTGTTTTTTTTTCCGCAGTACATACTAGAAAACGTTACAACCCCTATATTTCTCTTCCGCACATTCTTCGACATTATCGTGAACATGCTTGGCGGGCTGCTGCCGCGAAACACTACATACGCTTATACATGCTTGAATGAAGTGGTGTGGTTGGGCACAGGGATTATATCGAGAAAGGAGTGGAACAACACGGTGTGGAAAACAAATTACTGTACAACGGGAGAGAGGGACGCATTGTTTGTTGCGGCATCTGTTCTTTATGAAAAACTCGAGAGGGTTACCGGATGTGGAAACACTGTAGCTGCGTTTGTGCAACCTGGGATGTTACGCATAACATTGTGTTACAACTCGTGGACACAAGCAACAATTCGGGGAATGTCGGTCGAGTCCGAAATAGTACGATGGTTTGCAAACGAGATGACCCATAGATTTGTGCATAAGTAGGTGTCAAATGTTATAGCCTCTAGTGGGTCATGCTATATGGGGTACAAACAGTTAGGGTTAGGCATTTGTATCCCACCCAATCAATCCAACCCATTCCGCTGTGTTTAGTTTCTGAGATGGTATCAGCAGTAGGTTCGCCATTCCTAGGCCACACATAGTCTCCTCCGTTCCTAGACTTCGACCGTCACTATCGCAGCCTTGGCGTGAACCCCCCCCGTTTGCCCTAAGCACGGTAGCCAGCAAGCCCTGTCAAACATTGGAGGTCCGTGAGTGGTACTCTCAGCACGGGGGGGGGGGGGGGGTGGCTTTAGCTGCACGTACGTCATTCGCACTGGTGACCGCACTGGTCAGCCGTGTGGACGACCGCACGCCACACAGTGCTGCTTCGCTCGTCTCAACGACGCTTGGCGTGTTCAGTTCCCTCAGGCCACAGAGCTGCCCTGCTGGGTTGATCTCCTGAAGAAGGGGATTGATATCTATGCTCTAGACTTTGATGCTATTCTCACTGCTATGTATGTGATGTCTACTAGTGGAGAGGGTGCTGAGTACCTGTGTGTGCCGCCCGACCCGGGCATTAGGACTAGTGCGTCTGCCGCTCCAGGTACTCGCGTGTCTGCTACCCCAGGTGCTGGTGAGGCAGCTGCTCTAGGTGCTTGTGGGTCTGCCCCCCCTGGTACTGAGTCGACGGCAGCACTGCACACCTTCACACTAGACTCAGGTGCTTCTCGCTGCCTCTTTCGTGACCGCACTGCCCTTGAGCCGCTTGCTCGGCCAATTGATGTCTCCCTCGCTGACCCCTCTGGGGGTCTGGTCATTGCGACCTCCTCCACTGTCCTTCCCTGTTCTGCGGTCCCGTCGAGCACACTGTCAGGTCTCAACCTCCCCTCGTTCTCTACGAACTTGGTGGCAGGTAGTGCACTCCAGGACGGGGGTGTTCACCAGTTCACCCCTGCCTACGAGTGCGTGACGCACTGCACCTGTGCTCGTACGGGCCGCCACTTGGCTACCTTCACTCGGCAGCCGGGGTCGGACCTGTACACACTGACCACTGAGTCCCCTCAGGTCGCTGCGTCTGCGTCCGCGTCCGCGTCAGGTCAATTGTCTGCCCCCTGCTCGTGTCGCTCTCTGGCGCACGAGTCTGTCCTCTGGCACCACCGACTTGGCCACCCGTCTGTGCAGCGCCTTCGTGCCATGCACTCCCGGTACCTTGTCTCTGATCTTCCCAGAGTCCTCCCTCCCCTCCCACCCTCGCCTGCTCCTCCCTGTCTTCCCTGCGTTGAGGGGCCGCAACGCGCCGCTCCTCACTCCTCCTCGTTTCCCCCGACGACTGCTCCCTTGCAGACGCTCCACATGGACGTGTGGGGCCCAGCCCGCGTCCGTGGTCAGGGTCAGGAGAGGTACTTCCTGATAGTTGTTGACGACTACTCGCGCTACACCTCGGTCTTCCCCTTGCGCACCAAGGGTGAGGTCCCTGATGTCTTGATCCCTTGGATCCGCAGAGCCCGTCTCCAGCTCAGCGAGCGTTTTCACTCGGACTTTCCTGTCCTGCGCTTGCACTCTGACAGAGGTGGTGAGTTCTCCTCCGACCTCTTGGCAGCCTACTGTGCTGAGCATGGCATTGAGCAATCGTTCACGCTTCCGGCTTCTCCACAGCAGAATGGGGTTGCGGAGCGCCGCATTGGCCTGGTCATGGAGGTCGCCCGTACCTTCTTGATCCATGCGGCTGCCCCCCACTTTCTGTGGCCGTTTGCGGTCCGGTACGCTGCGCATCAGCTCAACCTCTGGCCCCGTGTCTCCTTGCCGGAGACCTCGCCCACGCTGCTGTGGACGGGGGAGGTTGGCGATGCGTCGCGTTTCCGGGTCTGGGGGTCTCGAGATTTTGTCCGCGATTCATCTGCGGACAAGCTCTCCTCCCGTGCTGTTCCCTGCGTCTTCCTCGGCTTTGTCCCGGATGCGTTTGGTTGGCAGTTTTACCACGCCACCTCGCGCTGAGTCTTGCCCTCCCAGGACGTCACTTTTGACGAGTCCGTCCCCTACTACCGCCTCTTCCCCTACCGCACTGCCCCGCTCCCCCCCCCCGCCTCTCTTCCTCACACCAGGTGCTGCTGTTGCAGACCCCCTCCCCCCTCAGGGTGCCGCTCCCTCAGGTGTGTCTCAGGTAGACCCGGTTGAGCCTGTTGAGGTAGCTGTCGACTCTCGTCCTGCTGCGGGTGCGGAGCCTGGGGGTGCTGAGCCTGGGGGTGCGGAGCCTGGGGGTGCTGAGCCTTGGGGTGCGGAGCCTCGGGGTGCGGAGCCTGGGGGTGCGGAGCCTGGGGGTGCTGAGCCTTAGGGTGCGGAGCTTGGGGGTGCGGAGCCTGGGGGTGCTGAGCCTGGGAGAACTGAGCTTGGGGGTGCTAAGCCTGGGGGTGCTGAGCCGCCGAGTCCGGAGTCTGGGGGTTCTGAGCCTGGAGGTCCTGAGCTTGAGGGTCCTACACCTGGAGGAGCCCTCTCCTCGGAGCAGCTGCGTGAGTGGTACTTACAGTACTGCAGCCTCAGGAGCGGTACCTCTGGAGCCAGGTGTACTACTGGGACTGGTGCTAGTGCTTCTCCTCCTAGCCAGGAGCTCCCCTCCCATGAGCGGATCTGTGAGTGGTACGAGCAACGCTGCACTCTTCCGAGTGGCGCGCCTGCTTTCCGGACCCCGCTGCTGCTGGTGGTGCTGCTGGTGCTGGAGACTCTACTGGTTCTTCTGGTGCTGCGGACCCGAGCGTTGGAGCTACGGCTGGTGCTGAGGACCCGGGCGCTGGTGCTGCTGCTGGTGCTGAGGACCCGGGCGTTGGAGCTGCTGCTGGTACTGAGGACCCGATCGTTGGCGCTACTGCTGGTGCTGAGGACCCTGGTGCTGCTGCTGGTACTGAGGACCCG